GTATTGAAGCTTTGTTGAGAGACAGTGAAATTTATATGCCACAAATATTTCAATAATTTATTAAACATTTAAAATATTACGTATTGAAATGAGGACACTTTATGCAATATTATTATCGAGTTCGGAGATGGGCATTATCGGTTCACTCCTACTGGTACTTCCCCCACAAAAGGTCGACATTTAAAAAACATATATTTTACTGCACAAAAAGAGAATGGATAATCAGATTTTGCACCAACTTTGCAAATCCTGATATTTGCATCAATGCTAGGTTAGGGGCGAAAATGGGCAATATCAGTCTACTCCATCAAGTACTCCCCATACAAAGGGTCAAAATTTTGAACCATTATAACTTTTATTAAATGTGATTCAAGAGTCTAGTTTTCTTCAAATTACTCATATTACAATATTTTTATTAACCCAAGATCTGGTGTTAAGATGGAACATATCGGTCCACTCCTTCTGGTATCTTCCCCACAAAGGGTTAAAATTTTGAATATCCATGAAGCTCATAAAATGCGAAATTAACACTCGATTCCATTCAGACTTGTTACATCTCAGTATTTCCATCAACACAAGAATTGTTATAAGGATTGTAGAGATCAGACCATTTCTTCTCGTACCTCCCCCACAAAGGGACAACATTGTCAATAACCAAAACGATCATGAAATCCGAAATAAGCATCCGGTTCTCGAGCATATTTCCACATTTTCCAAAAAATTGAACCTGTGGCACGTTGTAATATTTATATCAGACTTAGGTTAGATACGAATTCGACAATATTGGCCAACTGCTTCGGAACGTTCATCATAAAGGGTCAACAGTGTGAATAATCATAATTAAAGACTGGGGGTGTACATCTGTCGGCAAAACCGACTGATACAATTTAATTTTTTTTTTTAATAACTATATATTGCAAATGGCGAGTCGACATCGCGTTCCATACATCTCGACTATAGGTATTTTAAAGGTTTTGCCAATTGTATGTGAGTCTGCAAACCTTTTTTATACCCTGTCCAAAGTTCAGGTCACATTTATTCATTTATTTAACATTTAATATTTGCACCGTTAATTTATTTGGCCTACCGCCGAACTCTATTAAAACTGGTGATAATCGGAAAAGATATTCCCAAATTAAATGAATTTTAGTAAATACAATCAAATTTAATCCAAAATCAGTAATATGCGCTACAGAATAGAAGTACGCTTTCCAAATTTTGTGGTGATCGTTTCCATTTAGGATATAGCTATTATTTATTATTATTATTATTTGTTTGTTATGGCTCTACAGGCTCAATCCTCACGAAATCGTTCAATAGGTAATGTTATGATCAGAATTGAAGACTATTGGGGATTTCTTGATTTTGTAGTCGCTATATGGGCCAGGGCAAAAGGCTACTAGTTTTATAAAATAATTTAGTGAAATTAACCATTATTTTTATTTGTAATATTCAAAAATTTCGTTACAACCTTTTTATGGGAATAACACGTTCTTTTTTGACCAACCGGTAATGCAGAAGGTATGTATGACAACGTGTGTTCGGCCTAGTCGAACATAAGATCTCTTTTACTTGTTAAATTACAAAGTGGTTAATATAATACACTCAGAAGTGCTCACATCTTCGCCAGCGAAAAGTCCACCTTAAAATTTTAGATTTTTTTTTTAGATTTGTATTTAAGTACTCAAAAAGTACAATTTTTTCAGTTTAAGATTTTTTTTAATCAAAACTTCATACATCATACTAAATTTTCAGAGTTTCAAGTTTTTATGTATTATTTAAGTTTTTCGTTTTTCAGAGAAAATGTTTACCATTCATGCTAAAAAAGTCTTCAAAGTTTTTTATTTTGAGGTTTACCGGTGAGGATATTAGTAAGATCATATCACAATGGACCCACATCGATTTTTTTTCTGTCCAAAACTATTTCAACGTCTGCATATGTAAGCCCTAGAAACCAATAGTGACCTTAACTCAAATTTCCTTTACCCAATTTGGTACCACTTAATACTTTTCGAACAATTATAGTTGACAGTTCCAAATCCACCTCTATATTTTAAACACAGATACCAACAGTAACATAAATATCAACTTTCAGGATTTCAGCGATATTCCTTCATTCAATACCAAATTTAGTTCTATTGAGTACTTTTTGTACAATTATAGTACACATTTCCAAACCCACCTCCATATCTCAATTACATATACCAAGAGAGACCTCAATATCAAAATTTCAGAATTCAATATCAAATTTAGTACCATTTAGTACTTCTCGTACAAATATGGGACGCATTTCCAAACCTCCACCAAATATCATACACAGTTACCATCAGAATTCTAAACATTAACTTTCCCTTCACCCTTAGTACAGTTCATGCATTTAGACCACATTTCCAAAACCACTTTCATATATCAAACTAACTTCCCAATTTAGATTTTCATAACAAATTTCAAGTTTTTAGCTCAATCCCTTCATCATTTTGTACCATTTTAGAACTTTTCGTAACATTAAGGTTCGAGTTACCAAAAACTCTTTGGAACATCTATCCTGCACTCTATCAGTGACTATCATTCCAAATATCATAGTTCTAGCTCTGTTTGTCCAATACAATTTTTGGTACATTTTAGTGCTTTTCGTATCCTTTTAGTAAGAATTTACAAAATCCCAGCCTAGTCGCACGCCTACGCACCAAGACTGACCTTCGTGCAAAATGTCATGATTCTAGCTTCAGCCGTTTTGTCTGGGCTTTATTCTCGGTCAGTCTGTCGGTGACTTAGTCACAATAGATATCACTGAAAATTATCTAAACATGACCATGTTTTTATAACCTCCACCAAGCATAGTATGTAGGGATATACCCGATAGCTCGACATTCCGTTTTAACTCATCGAAATAATAGTTTTAGACCCAACAAACTATATATATTCTTGATCAGCGTAAAATTCTAAGACGATTTAGCACTGTCCGTCCGTTCGTATGTCCGTCTGTTGTAGTCATGCTACAGTCTAAACGAATTAAGATAGAAAGCTAAAATTTTGCACAGATCTGTCTTTTGTCTGCAGGCAGGCCAAGTTCGAAGATGGGATATATCGGTCCACGATATCGTATAGCGCCCATATAATGCTACCACCCGATACTCAGTATTTTGATGATTTCAGACACATTTTCAACGGAATTGTCTGAAAATTCACACAAGGAGTTCCTTGTGAGTACTTTATCCCCTGAAAGGGAATTACCTATATAGGTCCACGATATAGTATATCGCCCATATAATGGTACCCCCAATAATCGGTATTTTGAAGATTTTAACAACACTTTTCAACGGAATTGTCTGAAAATTCACACAAGGAGTTCCTTGTGAGTACTTTATCCCCTGAAAGGGAATTTCCTATATAGGTCCCCAATATCGTATAGCCCCCATATAACGGCACACCCCCTTAATCGGTATTTTGATGATATTAGCCACATTTTTCAGTGAAATTGTCTGAAATTCTACACAAGGAGTTCTTTATGAGTAATTTACCCCCCGAAAGAAAATTACCTGTATAGGTCCACGATATCGTATAGCCCCATATAACGGTAACCCCGATATTCGGTATTTTGACGGAATTGTCTGAGACTTCACACAAGGAGTTCCTTGTGAGTACTTTATTCCCTGAAAGAGAATTATCTATATAGTCCACGATATCGTATAGCCCCCATAAAACGGTACCCCCTGATATTCGATATTTTGACAATTTCAGCTAAATTTGTCAATGGAATTGTCTTAAAATCCACAAAAGTACACTACCCCCGGAAAGAATATTGTGCATAAAGGTCTACGATATCGTATATCTCCCATATAAAGGCACCTTCCGATATTCAGTATTTTGATGATTTTTGCGACGTTATTCACTGAAATGGTTTCAAATTTCGTATATAAAGTTCGGACCAGTTACTACAGCCTATAACTTATGAAGGACCACTTCTTCGTATAGCGGTATTTTCCGAAGGATTTTTTTTTGGAAATTTTACAAGTTTCATCCAATGGTGGAGTGTAAAAAAAGTTCGGCCCGGTCGAACTTAGCTGCTTTTTTACTTGTTTTTTTTAGACTCATAAAACCGCGACTGCCAATATTTTGTATTTCAAGTGTTTTGCACCGATATTGATATTTTGTGTTTTTGAGGAATTTAAGGGTCTATGAAAATATCGACAAAATTGTTGTTTTGCTAATGCATCTAGCATATAACAGTCAGTACCCTTTGAAATTACAAAAAAAAAAAGAAACAAACTTAATTTTTTTAGAACTTTTTATTTTTTACTTAATTTTAATTTGTTTACTTTCATCACACGCAGTAATTATTGTCTTTTCCTTTTCGTCCCCCAACACTCTTTTCTCGTTTCGTCTTTTTTTCACATTATAAATTCATTTTGTGAGGTTATAAATCATATTAAATTTAAAAAAGAAAAAAAAAAATACCACGACTGAAACTATACCGAATAAAAACACCAACGCCATCAACTCTTGAACTCATATATAAAGGTGAACGGAAAATACATTTCCGCATTATATTAAAACTGCACAGGATAAATAAGTTATCACATGGTGGACCAGGAAATGCAATATAAATATATGTACACATTTTTTTTCTTTTTTCCTTTTTTTTTTTTTTGATTTCGAAACATTCACTTCAATCTATCTCTCAATTACGTAACATTGAAAATGCATTAGATGCATTTTCGATCGATCAATATTTTCACAGCAGCTATGTATCCAGAGACACATTTCCACAACATTAACAAACATAACACGCAAGGTGGGTAAAGCAAGGTGTGGATGTTTGTCTGTCTGTCTGTCTCTGTGTGTGTATGTGTGTGGTGTAGTATGGATGCCACTCAATTGTGCTTCACGGTTATTTGGATGAATTTCATATAAATTGATTAAGGTGAGTGGTAGTATTTGTGTGCATGGGTTTGTGTGTGTGTGTGTTGGTTTTTTTATTTCTGCTGACAAATTCTAACCTTCACCACCGTTAATGGATATTCGAAATCCGCACCGCCGACAAGAGTAAAGCCCCAGGGCACATTTTCGAAACGGCACATTTTAATATCAATCACCATTTTGATGAATTGATTCAAAACTATTCACTGTAAATATTTTGCAAAAGGTGAACGAGATTATTTTCACTTGAAATCTATCTAGGTGCGTATGTGTATGCGTGTGTGTGTGTGTGTAAATAGGCAAGTATGTGAGTGTTCTATGTTGAAAGTGCTTTTTCCGAATGCCGATCTGCAAATGTTGAGGGGGAATTTTTTAATTTATTTTTTTTTTTTTGTTCTTCTTTTTAATTAGAAAATGCACCGACCGACGTACCAAACGTATTGACCGCAATCAATGAAAAACTCGTACTAAAACCTCCGACGTAACCAAACCGACTAAAACAAAGTAAATGACAGATTGATATTGGACGATTGCTATTGTTGAGTTCTCGGTGAATATCGATGCGAGTTGTTTTCGGTGTTTTCTTTGATTCGATATCGATTATTTAGTTTTTGTTGGGCGAGTGGTTTTCAGTTGTTTTCTGCCATAACCACTGGCCAAATAAACCGAAATGACCAGAAAACAATTATGTTTGATGTACAGATGAATTAATTTTGCATTCATTGCAACATTTATGTTGGTTAAAATTTAAGTAATTTGTTTCCATTTCCATTTCGAAAGGGAAATAAACATTTGTATTGATGTTGTTGGGGTTTTTTGTTTAACCATAAATTGGTTATTATGTTGTTGAGGTGAAAAAAGTGAAACATAAAATGTGAAGATGCATGAACAATGTTTCCAAATCATTTGCAATGAAAAATCTGGTTAAAGCACTTTTAAGAGAGTATTACTTTAAATTGTTTTACTAGGAAATCGCTCCCGCTTAAAAAAATGCTGAGCAATAATGCTCGTACCAGCAAGAGTTGCCTGAAATCGCCATATCTATGTCTGGCGGATGCTACAACAATTCATATTTAGTAAAACTACCCGCAAAATATAAATGTTTTTATTGGGAATTTATGCGGAGTAACACATACCGACTATGAACCTTTATTAATGTGTATTATGGCTTTAGATCAGTTATAAATTGAAATCACAGGGAACTAATATATAGCAGGTATATGCAACTCTGAATCCATTTTAATCAAATATGACGTAGGCATTTGTACCTCTCGTACAAAACAACATTGCTAGAACTGTATCCGATATCTGCTACCAAAAATCATTATTGTAGAATGCATATTACGAAATGAGCGACTGAAACATATATATGGGATCTATAGCTGTCTTAACAGATTTTCACTAAATTTAAAATACTGCTTCTATGCTGAATTTGATCGGAAGTGTCAAAATTAACTCCATTTTGGGTGAATAATAACCATTTGGTGGACATTAACTTGAAATCGGATAAAAATATATACATATATAGGAGTAACATCCAAATCTGAACTGATCTTTATAAAACTTGAGAGAGGTGTTTCTGGATCATATTTGATATCTGGTACCAAATATAATTTTTGTAGAACACATATATAGTATGAGGGATTGAAACACCAAATCAAATGAAGCAAATATATGGAAGGTATGATTAGATCTGGACCGATTTCCACCAAATTTGAAGTACTTGCTACTGGGCTGAATTCGCGCGGATTTGTCGAAAAAAATTCTATGTGGACGAATATTACAGATATGACGTAAAAGATATACATAAATATATACAAGGTGAGATGAAAAAAATGCAACCAACTTCAGACTGCTGTCATTTCTAAGCAGACAGCTGTTAAAATTAATCCAGTGACAGCTCATTATATTGTTTACAAGCATACATAAGCATTTTAGTGCGAATTTTCCAGAAAAAAAATATATGTATATTCGTGATGGAATTCAAGCGAGATAGTGTGATTTCTTTATATTTGGCTGGAAAACCACAAATGGCTATCGTTAGAGCACTCCAGCATTTAAATGCTTTTGTGTCGTACCATCGTTCGTTACCGTGATACTGGTAGGTAACGTGGTCCGACGTCAAGCAAGTGGACGAAAGAAAACATCAGCAGAAATGGTTCGAAAAGTAAAGAAGCGACTTGATCGAAACCCGCGTCGCAGTGGCCGAAAAATGGCTCGTGAGCTGAACATATCGCAACATTCCATTCGGCAAATATTGAAAAATGAGCTCGGGGTGAAGCCATTGAAATTTCAAAAAGTGCAAGAAGTTACACCGCAACAGAAAGAAAATAGACTCAAAAGAGCTAAAGAGTTGCTGCGTTCGGCCAAAAGTGGTGAACTGCCGAATTAGGTTTTCTCCGATGAGAAAACATTTGTTGCCCAGCAGTTTGTAAACAAACAAAACGATCGTGTGTACTTGCCAAAGAGGTCAGCTGAAAATGTGCACATTCAAAAAATCTAAACTTATTCTAAAATTTGATGTAATTCTTCGATATTTTTTGCTTTCATTCAATAAAGTTTTAAAAAATATACAAATTATGGCATTTGACCTTTTTGCAGTTTTTTTTATTTAGCTAATACTAAACCAATACCACGAAACTATTTACATAAAATCTTTGGCATTGATGTCATCTTTCATATGACATTTACAACAACAAATTTGGTTCACACATTCCACAGAACATCAATTACCAACACATTCAACACTTTGTGTTGGGGGTATAATAAGTTTGATTGGGCCACACATTATGTAACACCTCGAAATATTGATTCCCGACATGGGCTACTATATATGGCTCTTCCTATCTCCAGTCGATTTACCGATGTATATCCGTCCGTCCGTCTGTCCATTTTAAACTATAATCACATTACAGGTCGCAATTATGGCCCGATCGTCAGGAAATTGAGAGTAGAAGTAGAGTTAGGGTCAGAATAGAAGCCTACTGTTTTAGGGGATGATCGCAAAATATTTAGGTTGTGAGTTGAAATGGATCAAAAGCAGAAAAATTCGGATTTTGCAGCTGCTCTACAGGTCGCAAGTATAGACCAATCGACGGAATTTTGGGAATTCTGGGCAGAAGCAATACATTTTGGTCATCGGACAATATTTAGCGGGTAAAATGGACCATAACTTTTATGTACAATAATTCGAGAATTTCCACTAAACCTCGAATATTTTTAATCCCGGTGAAATCGCTAATACATTAAAATGTCACTTCTGACCATGACAGTGATACGGATAGCCAAGATATCGGGTACATAGAAAACTAGGCAAATCTTTATGTCGAATAAATTGATGATAGTTAATATGGTTATAAGTCAAGAATCGCTTGATTGATTTTGACAATTCTCGCCAATTTGGAGTGGCATCTTGCCAGAAAAGGATACAATCTATGAAAAACCCGATCCAGATGAAATTTTGCACAAATCCTTTGTTTGGCCGAAGGACGAACCCTATTGAAATTGGAGATAATCGGTAAAAAATTAGATATAGCTCCCATATATGTCTTCGTCCGATTTCAGCCCGAATAGTATGGAATTTTGCACGTACGATCAGATTGGACCTGAAAATAAGTATGCCAAATTTAATCGAAATCGGTTCAGATATAGCTATAGCTCCCATACATATTGTTCATCCGATTTGTTATTTTTGTCCTCCGCAGCCGTAATATGCACTCTGTAACAATAATATTTGGGGAAATATATCAAATGCAGCTCAGAAATACCTTTGATAATTTTTATCGAGATCGGTTCGGGTTTGGATGTATCTCCCATATATAACTTCGTCCGATTTACCTTTTATTGTGCACCAAATGTCTAATATTTGCCCAAATGGGATGAAATTTGGCAATTACGACCGAATTGAGTCTAGAAGCTATTATGTCAAATTTGGTGAAGATCGGTTCAGATATAGCTATAGCTCCCATACATATTGTTCATCCGATTTGTCATATTTGTTACCCACAGCCGTAATATGCACTCCGTAACAACGATATTCAGGGAAATATATGAAATACAGCTCAGAAATATCTTTGTCAAATTTTATCAAGGTCAGTTCAGATTTGGATATAGCTCCCATAAATATCAAATGAGCAATACAAGTTCGAATTTAAAAGATACAAATGCTTCGGCATATTAAGTCTTTTGAACATGAAATTATAACTATTATCATAGCGTCTATGATTGAATTCTCCCATAAAATCTTTTAATTGTTATGTGGAGATCTACTAAATTAGCAAAGTGGTGTAGGCTATCATAAAGTCGGCCCCGCCCGTCTTTAAGACGTTCTTTACTGGTTTAATATGTGATTTACAATTTTGATTTGTATATTTTGTTACCAGGACTGTATGATATTATTTCAACAACGAAAAAGACCACAATGGACCGAAGGTTACTTCAGATATATTTTTGTGTTGTAGGGTATCACATGGTCAGCTCCGCACGACTATAGCCTACACTTACTTGTTTTCATATATAGATTTATATTTTTAGTATCTGACACAAAAAATGTTACATTGTTGTTGAGAGTACGTGGGCTTTTGAAAGTTAAGCCTACGCCAACTTAAATGCCACATTTATGATTGGTTGGCTTTTGTTTAATATTTAATTTGCAAATCTGCAATGCTCTCGAATTTCGAATGAAATTTTTATTTTTCGGGCAAAAAAAAAACGTAAATAATTAATAATTTTTTGTTTTACTTGTATGTTTGTAACATTCATTGAAATACGTTGAATGAAAAATATGTGGGCAATTTAATACTTATGTATCTACCAAAAATAATCGTACACAGCATTTCAACAATAATTAACGCTATATATTTACAGTCCTATATCCAGATTTGAAAAGAAGCATCATATGTCTAAAATTACAAATTTTCTGGAGAACAAAACAAAAATTGCAAAAACTTTAGTTCTTTTTTTACAAACCAAGATTATATTAAGAAACCAGTGAAGAAAGTCCTAATGTCGGGCGGGGCCGACTTTATGGTACCCTACACCACTTTGCTAATTTAGTTGAGCTGCGCATAACAATTAACAGTTTTTATGGGAGAATTCAAGTATACACGCTGTGATAATAATTATAATTTAAAGTTCAAAGGACTAAATATGTCGAAGCATTTGTATCTTTTAAATTCGGATTCGTATTGTCCATTTGGTGCAAAATTAATTTGAAATCATATAAAGATATATATGGGAGCTCTATCCAAATCTGAACCGATTTCGACAAAATTTGGCAAATATATTTCTGAGTTGTATTTAATATATTTCCCTGAATATCGTTGTTACGGAGTGCATATTACGGCTGTGGGTAACAAATCGGATAAACAATATATATGGGAGCTATACCTATATCTGAACCGATTTCGATCAAATTTGGCATACTTATTTTCAGGTCTAATTTAGTTGTATGTGCAAAATTCCATACTATTCGGGCTGATATTACACGTTTGGTGCACAATAAAAGCCAAATCGGACGATATCTAAATTTTTACCGATTATCTCCAATTTCAATAGG